GTTAACGGCCGGGGCGCCCTCGCGCCCCGCCCTCAGTCATCGCCGCGGCCGGGTCACCGCCGCTGCTGCCGTTTCGAGGCTCTTGCTTCCTGCATCGAGATACCAGGCAACGCAGTAGCGAGATAGAGGTGCTTGTGTTTCCCCGTGGTCGGGAGGCATCTTCTCTGCCACGAGTTCTTCGGAGCTCAGGCCTTTGGGATGCGAGTTTAACACTCGAGGTAACACATGCTGTAATTTCTCCCCCTCCTGACGGAAAACAGTCAGATGCGATGGGGAGGGCTGAATTTCTAAGTCTGCAGAAACGTCCCAATTCAGCAGGCTGTTACGAAGCAGCCCATTAGAGCAGACCTTTTTTCTAAATGCCTTTAAAGGATCTTTCATTTAAAGTTAAATGGGTTTAAGCTTCCACAAAGAGAGCATAATTTATGTGAGTAGCTTAATACTTTTCTAAATCTAAAAGGGGAGGGGATTTTCACTGAACTGAAGTCTCCAGGGAAGAGGGAATTATAGAGCTATAATCATCTGTGCTGGGAATAGAGCACATGGAATTCAGTGGGTAAAAACCTTTTTGCTTGGCATTATCCATGAATGGCTAGGCTTCTGGCCGGCAGCTCAGCTTTCACATTGCTTAGGCTGAATGTATGATGTGTCATTTTTCCATACTCAGAAATTCTACAACTGTGAAGGGACAACTCAAAATAAACCAGCCAGGTGCAACAATACAAGCATGTAAACACACATTTTCTTCAGAAATATTGCTATAAAAGTCTTTGAAATATTAATGTGGAGAAAGAAAGAAAAATCCAGAAATATCGTTGTTGCATCTGGCTTTCCATTCAAGATGATTACCACTGTGCAACTTTCAAGTGCCAGAAACACATCCCTCAGTTCTCTAAACTGTAGGAATATGCATAAAGTGATGGAATTGGAAGAGGGGTAGGGAGACAAGTACTTCCCCAGCTCCCTTGGTTGCTTCGGTTGTCACACAGGACGTGAGCTTGCAGGTGCACAATAATGGTGGAAAAGGTGACACACTACGTGCTCTGAGCAGTAGCAAAATGTCATTTAATGTGTGTATTTTCTGAACTGTCTGGTTTCTGTCTATTTTGGGTGTAGCCTCTATAACCTGCAGTCCTAATGCTGACTGCGGTGGGGCAGCCTTGGAGTTAGGTGAACATCCTTTGCTTTAGGAAAAAGGATGCAAATGTATCAGAGCTTGAGCCTGGGAGCGCCAGTGGTGCTGACTTCAAAGCAGAACTCGTGACCGCATTTCTGAGCAGACCTCCCTCGCTTGCCACTTGGGAGGCCAAGCTGGGTGTGATCGCAGTGGAAATGCTGACGTGCCTGAGCATCTGCCACTGGGTTCCACGGGTGCCATTTCCTCTGCTCCCAGAACAATGAGGAAAGTGAGAGGAAATCCGAACAAAATCTCTGCATGACAGGGGAAAGGAAAGGAAGCCTGAAACAATTCACAGGGCAGCAGTGGAAATGAAACTGCTGCGTCCCACTGTGCTCAGGAGCAATGGTTAAAAAAAAAAAAAAAAAAAAAAAAAAAAAAGGACACAGTGTGGATACTATCCATAACCACTTGTTTCAAAACAAAAGGTTGAGCTGTGAGCTTGCTATACAACTGCAGTGTTAAAGGCCATGCCTGACCAGTACTTAGATACTAACCCTTGTAAGGGCTGCAAGGGTATCTTAAGAAATGAAGTCAGGATGTGATGGGAGGTCAGCACTTCTGCTTCTTTGTTGTTCTGATTGCCCATATAATATGGTAGATGCTAATTTAGTGGTTAGATATACTGTCCCATGCACTAATGGTTGTAGGAAGATATTTTGCAGGAAAGTTACAACTGTTCTAGTGAAATTACAGTTTGGATAATTTCCTTTTGTCAGGAGATACATTTGACTGGATGTTCCCTTCTGTGCTGAACTCCTGGGGAGAGCATCTGTGTGTAATAAATTAAGTACTGCTTCTGGATGGTGACTTGCGTTTTGTGCTTGTCAGAACAGGGCACTGTAGATTTTACTGGACTTCAAAACTTTCCCTTCAGGGCTCTTAGGCATGGCCTTTGACCACATACATTCCTAGCACTCCCGCATGTTACAAGCACAGTCTTCCTTAGAGAGAATGGGA